GCAGAGGATGAAGGACAAGCAGACTCCACGCTGAGCACAGAGCCCAACATGGAGTTTAATCCCACGACCCTGAGACCATGACTTGAGCAAAAATCAAGAGTTGGATGCTCAACCGACTGAGCCACCCAGATGCCCTAGACAAAACAGATAGGGCATTACATAATGATAGAGGAATCAATCCAACAAGAGGGTATAGCAATTGTAAATTGTAAATATCTATGTACCCAACATAGATGCACCTAAATACATAAAACAAATATTAAGAGATATAAAGGAAGAAACTGATAATCATAGTAGGGGACTTTAACACCCCACTTACATCAATGGATAGATGATCCAGACAGAAAATCAATAAGGAAACAGTGGCTTGAAAGACACATTAGATTAGCTAGACCTAACAGATATATACAGAATGTTCTATCTAAAAACAACAGCATACACATTCTTTTCAAGTGCACAGGGAACATTCTTCAGGATAGATTACATGTTAGGCCACAAAATAAGTCTCAACAAATTTAAAGAAAATTGAAATCATATCAAGGATCTTTTCCAACCAAAACAATATGAAACTAGAAAACAACTATGAGGAAAAAAAACTGGAAAAACACAAACACATGGAGTAGTAGACTAAACAACCAAGGGGTTAATGAAGAAATCAAAGAGGAAATTTTAAAAAAATCTCGAAACAAATGAAAATGAAAACACAATGGTCCAAAATCTCTGAAACACAGCAAAGGCAGTTCTAAGAGGGAAGGTTATAGCAATGCAGGCCTACTGAAAGAAATAAGAAAAACCTCAAGTGAACAACTTAACCTTACATACACCTAAAGGAATTAGAAAAAGAACAAAGCCCAGGGTACCTGGGTGGCTCAGTCAGTTAAGTATTTGACTCTTGCTTTTGGCTCAGGTCATGATCTCAGGGTCGTGAGATCGAGCCCTGCATCGGGCTCCCCACTCAGCAAGGAGTCTGTTTGGGATTCTCTCTCTCCCTCTGCCCCTTCCCCTGCTCGTGTGCTCTCTAAATAAATAAATAAGTAAATAAATAAAATCTTTAAAAAGAAAAAGAACAAAGCCAAAAGTTAGTAGAAAGAAGAAAATAATAAAGAGAGTAGAGATAAACGATACAGATAAAAAATAATAAAAAGATTAATGAAATCAAGAACTGGTTCTTTGAAAAGATAAACAAAATTGAGAAACCTTTAGCCACACTCATCAGGAATAAAAGAGAACTCAAATAAATAAAATCAGAAACGAAAGAGGAAAGGTAACAACTGATACCACAGAAATATAAAGAATTATAAGACATTACTATGAAAAATTATACTCAAACAAATTGCACATCCTAGAAGAAATGGATAAATTCCTAGAAACACAATCATCCAAAACTAAATCTGGAAGAAACAGAAAATCTGAACAGACTGATTACTACCGATTCAATTAACAAAATTGAACCGGTAAATTCCCAACAAACAAAAGTCCAGGACCACATAGCTTCACAGGTGAATTTTCCAAACATTTAAAGAACAGTTAATACCTGTTCTTAAACTATTCCGAAAAATAGAAGAGGAAAGAAAGCCTCCAAATTCATTCTATGAGGCCAGCATTACCCTGATACAAAAGCAGACAAGACACTATTTAAAAAAAAGAAAACTACGGCCAACATCCCTGATGAAGACAGGCGCAAAAATCCTCAACAACGGGCGCCTGGGTGGCTCAGATGGTTAAGCATCTGCCTTCGGCTCAGGTCATGATCCCAGGGTCCTGGGATCGAGTCCCGCATTGGGCTCCCTGCTCCTTGGGAGCCTGCTTCTCCCTCTGCTTCTCTCTCTCTCTCCCTCTGTCTCTCATGAATAAATAAATAAAATCTTTAAAAAAAAAATCCTCAACAAAATATTAGCAAATCAAATTCAATAATACATTAAAAAAATCATTCACCATGATCAAGTGGGATTTATTCCAAGGATGCAGAAGTGGTTCAATATTCTCAAATCAGTCAATGTGATACATCACATTAAAAAGAGGAAGCATTAAAACCACATGATTATTTCAATAGATGCAGAAAAGGCATTTGACAAAGTACAACATCCATTCATGATAAAAACTCTCAACAAAGTGGGTTTAAAGGGAAGATACCTCAACATAATAAAGGCCATAAATGACAAACCCACAGTTAACATCATACTCAATGGTGAAAAACTCAAAGCATTTCTTCTAAGATCAGGAATAAGCCAAGGATGTCCACTCCTCTCACTTTTTTTTTTTAAAGATTTTATTTATTTATTTGAGAGAGAGAGAATGAGAGATAGAGAGCACGAGAGGGAAAAGGGTCAGAGGGAGAAGCAGACCCCCTGCTGAGCACGGAGCCCGATGCGGGACTCGATCCCGGGACTCCAGGATCATGACCTGAGCCGAAGGCAGTCGCTTAACCAACTGAGCCACCCAGGCGCCCCTCCTCTCACTTCTATTCAACATAATAGTGGAAGTCCTACCTGCAGCAATCAGACTAAGAAAAGAAATAAAAGGTATCCAAATTGATGAGGAAGAAGTAAAACTGTCACTCTTTACAGATGACATGATACTATATGTTTTGTTTTTTTTTATGATACTATATGTTTAAAACCCAAAACTCCACAAAAAAAACTACTAGAGCTGATAAATGAATTCAGTAAAGTTGAATGTTACAAAATTAATATACAGATATTTGTTGCATTTCCTTTATCTGTTACATTTCTATACACTAATAATGAAGTAGCAGAAAGAAAGTTAAGAAAACAATCCCATTACAGTTGCACTAAAAAGAATACCTAGGAATAAACTTAACCAAAGAGGTGAAAGATCTATACTTTGAAAACTATAGGACATTGATGAAAGAAGTTGAAGATAACACAAACAAATGGAGAGATACAGCATGTTCATGGATTGGAAGAATTAATACCGTTAAAATGTCCATCGTACCCAAAGCAACTTCAAAGCAATTCAATGAAATCCTTATCAAAATACCAATATTATTTTTCAGAGCAGAACAAATAATTCTAAAATTCATATGGAACCACAAAAGACCCTGAACAGCCAAAGCAATCTTGGGAACAAAGCCAGATTTATCACAATCCCAGGTTTCAAGATATACTACAAAACTATAGTAATCAAAATGGTATGGTACTGGCACAAAAACAGACATGCAGATCAACAGAACAGGATAGATAGCCCAGAAACAAACCCATGCCTATATGGTCAATCTAGCACAAAGGCGGCAAGAATATACAATGAGGAAAGGACAATCTTTTCAATAAATGGTGCTGGGAAAACTGGACAGCTACATGCAAAAGAATGAAACTGGACCACTTTTACCATACACAAAGATAGACTGAAAATGGATTAAAGACCTAAATATGAGACCCGAAACCATAAAAGTCCTAAAAGAAAACACAGGCAGTAATTTCTTGAAACCTTGGCCTTAGCAACGTACTTATGGATATGTCTCCTGAGGCAAGGGAAACAAAAGCAAAAATAAACTATTGGGACTATACCAAAATAAAAAGCTTTTACACAGCAAGGAAAACCATCAACAAAACAAAAAGGCAACCTACCGAATGGGAGAAGGTATTTGTGAATGACATACCTGATAAGGGGCTAATATTCAAAATATATAAAGAATTTATAGAACTCAACACCAAAAAAAAACAAAAAATCTGATTAAAAAATGGACAGAGGACCTAATTAGACATTGTTCCAAAGAAGACATACAGATGGCCAACAGACACATGAAAAGATGCTCAACATCACTCATCAGGGAAATGCAATTCAAAACCAAAATGAGATATCACCTCACACCTGTCAGAATGGCTAGTATCAGAGAAGAAATAACAAGTGTTGGCAAGAATGTGGGGGAGGGGCACCTGGGTGGCTCAGTCGTTAAGCGGCTGCCTTCAGCTCAGGTCATGGTCCCAGGGTTCTGGGATCGAGCCCCGCATCGGGCTCCCTGCTCGGCGGGAAGCCTACTTCTCCCTCTCCCACTCCCCCTGCTTGTGTTCCCTCTCTCGCTGTGTCTCTCTCTGTCAAATAAAATCTTAAAAAAAAAAAAAAAGAATGTGGGGGAAAGGGAACCCTTATGCCCTGTTGGTAGGAATGCAAACTGGTTGCAACCACTGTGGAAAACAGTATAGAGATTCCTCAAAAATTTAAAAACAAAAATATTACCATATGATCCAGTAATTCCACTACTGGGTATTTAAAAATAAACAAAAACATTAATTTAAAAAGATATATACAGCCCTATGTTCATTGCAGCATTATTTACAATAGCCAAGATAATGGAAGCAATCCAAATGTCCACTGATGGATGAATGGATAAGGAAGATGAAGTACACACACACACGCACGCGCGCGCACACACACCCTGGAATATTACTCAGCCATAAAAAATAAGATCTTAAAATCTGCAGTAGCATGGCTGGACTTAGAGCATTATGCTAAGTAAAATAAGTCAGACAAAGAAGAAAGACAAATACTATATGATTTCACTTACATGTGGAATCTAAAAAAAACAAAACAAATGAAGCAGCAACAACAACAACAGAAAACACTTTCATAAACAGAGAACAAACTGGTAGTTGCCAGAGGGAAAGGGGGAGGGGCAAAATAGGCGAAGGGGATTAAGAGGTCCAAACTTCCTGTTATAAAAAACATAAATCATGGAGATGAATACTAAAGAATAGGGATAGTCAATAATATTGTAATAACATTGCATGGCAACAGATGGTAAGCACATTTATCATGGCGAGTGTTGTGTAATGTATAGAACTGTCAAATCACCATGTTGTACACCTGAAACTAATATAACATTTTATGTCAACTATACTTCAATAATCAAATTTTTAAAAAACAGTGATTTGGACACTCTGATATTTGAATCTCAAGCCCTTGCTTAGTTAAATACTTTAAGAGCCCACAGGTTCTAACAACCATGAAACAAAAATCCTCCAAAGAGTAGTTGTCCTTACCCACTAAGACCAGGTTGCCATAGATCTCCAGCATCACCTCTTTGTACAGGGTCCTTTGTGCAGGGTTTAGTTGCCCCCACTCCTCCTCGGTGAAGTCCATGGCCACATCCTTGAATGTAACAGGTTCCTAAAAGACCAATGAACAGTAATTCCTCCTACACCAATGTTTGTGGTACATAGGGTAAACTTGGAAACACTGAAAAAGGTAAATAGAGACTTCAGAGTTCTGCCCTAAACTGTAAGAGTAATTAAAGAATTAAAATATTTTAAAAGATACATATTATCTTATGCAGAGGTTCACTAACCCTAATAATACAAAGAGCTCTTAAAAGCATATGCAACTAATGAATCGTTGAACACTACATCAGAAGCTAACGATGTATTAGATATTGGCTAATTGGACATAATAAAAAATAAATTTAAAAAAAGCAATTAGAAGATAAAATGCCCCAGTTAAAAATGGACAAGAGAGGGGTGCCTGGGTGGCTCAGTCGGTTGGGTTTTGGAGTCTTGATTTTGGCTCAGGTCATGATCTCAGGGTTGTGGGATCAAGACCCCTGTTGGGCTCTGCACTCAGTGCTGAGTCTGCTTGAGATTCTCTCTCTCCCTCTGTCCCTTCACCCACTCTCTAAATAAATAAGTAAATAAATAAATAAAATCTTTTAAAAATGGACAAGTGAGGGCGCCTGGGTGGCTCAGTCGTTAAGCATCTGCCTTCGGCTCAGGTCATGATCCCAGGGTCCTGGGATTGAGTCCCACATCGGGCTCCCTGCTCAGCGGGGAGTCTGCTTCTCCCTCTTTCACTGCCCCTGCTTGTGTTCCCTCTCTTGCTGTGTCTATCTCTGTCAAATAAATAAAAAATCTTAAAAAAAAATGGACAAGTGAAAAATGATCTCAGTAATTCCTAGAAGAAAAGTAAATGCCTCACAAATTATCAAAGAAATGGACATTCATGTAACAAGATACTATTTTCCTCTATTCATCGTGTAAAGATTAAGACTTATAATACCCATTATTAATGAGTGTGAGGAAACGACCCGCCTATACTGATGGAAAGAGTATAAATTAGTACAAACTTCTTTGGAGAACAATTTGGCAGTATTTATCAAACATCCTTTGATCTAACACTCCCAATTCTAGAAATTCATCCTCATTAAGATAACTAATGACTTCCTTGCTCATAAATCCAATGGAAAGTTTTCAATCATTTTTATGCTTCACTTCTTAGTATTGTTTGGCCCCACTAACCATATGGTTTTCCTCAAAACTCTACTCCTAGAGTCTGGCTATCATAGTAACCCAGTTTTTTCCCTACCTCTCTGATCACTCTCAAGCTCTTTCTCTACTCATCAATGTTGGGGTTCCCTGGGTTGGATCCCAGGCCCTCTTCTCACTCTCTCTATACAGTCTCATCTATGCTGATAGCCTCAAATGCCATCCAAATGCTGGAAGCTCTTTTTTTTTTTTTTTAAGATTTTATTTATTTACTTGTTAGAGAGAGAGAGCGCGCACAAGCAGGGGGAGTGGCAGGCTCCCCGCTGAGCAAGGAGCCTGATGTGGGACTCAATCCCAGGACCCTGGGATCATGACCTGAGCAGAAGGCAGATGCTTAACCGACTGAGCCACCCAGGCATCCCCAAATGCTGGCAACTCTTAAAAGCACTTTGGCAGCCAAGACCTCTAGCCAGGTCTAGAGTTCTAGATCCCACTATCTACTTGATGAACATTCAGTATGAAGTAGGTAATTGATAAATATTTACCAAATGAAATAAAAATCTACTTGGATATTTCAAGGCCATCTAAATCAACTTGCTTAATTCTGACTTTATCTCCCTTTCCAAACCTGCTTCTCCCAACGTTCCCTAACTCAAGAAACCACACCTCCAACCACTCGGATGTTCAAGTCAGCAAAATAGGCATTATCATTTACTTCCTCTGTGTCATCTCTCACACCTGCTCCATCACTAAATCTTCCTAAAGATGTCTTTTCTCTCTGCTGCCACCACTATTCTGAGCCACCATCACACCTCTGCCTCCTCATTGGTCTATACCATCTTGCCTTCTTGCAACATAACCTCTACTCTGGCCCCTCTTTTTGTGACCATTCCTTAAATACCTGTGTTCCTCAAGGTTTTTCTCTAGTTACCTTCTTTTTCTTCTCTTGTCACATATTGGCTGGATGATCTCAACCAAGCCCTTGACTTTAATGACCATATACATGGTGACAACTCACCATGTATCTTTAACCTGGATCTGTCTCAGACCTTGATATCTAACTTCCTTCTAGACTTCTTTAATTGGATGTCCCACAGGCACTTCAAAATGTCTTCTAACTCCCCCTCCACAAACACACACGTATACATCTCAATCTCCTCTGTTACTTATATCAGTGAAGAGTATCACTATCATCCCGCTGCCCCAAACTTGTGTTTCAGCCTTAACTACTCCCCTTTCCTCACTCCCCACAACCGTACACAGACCCATAGTGTTATATGTGTTTTAGATACATACTTGGAGATGTCCATTTTCTTTATGTACTTATTTATCTACACAGCCAGGTTCCATTTCACTTTAAAGTTATAATTCAGCATTAAGTTCACTGAACTCTGCATAATTAGGCAGGCTAACAGGTATCTTTATTATTAAACAAATCTAAAGATTCCTTGATCTGTCATTCTTTTTGGCAACATAGCAACTTTAAACACCCTATGTCTAGGAAATTCTTCACCTTATGCATCTGTGTGTCTTCAAAATAGAAGCCAGAAACTCACTTGCCAGTGTCCCTTGGTTAGCCCACCAGATGCAGACGCACAAGTCTTTAATTCAGAAGTTAATGGCTGGAAATGGTAAGGATGGCAGCAGAGGCATCCAGTTCCAGAAGCAGTAGAGGCCAATGTTCTAGGGGTGGTGTCTGCAGCCCTGGGTCAGCAGTGCAAACTGTGTGTCTGCCCTGCAGCAGTGGTCTCTCCACTGGGATGGCCCAGTTGTGTGATTTGGGCATTGTTCCAAATTGTGTAGCTTCCAGGTTGTCTTTCTGGCCTCTGAGGAGATTCTGTGAGCTACCAAATATCCTTCAATAAGTTTCTTTTAGCTAAAGAGAATTTTGGTTCTTTGAATAACTGTCATTAGAAAATCTATTACTTCTGTAATCATAACAAGTGAAAGAGGAAAACCTATGTGATCATCTCACAGGATGGCAAAACAACATTTAATAAAATAAACTTCTGTGTCAACTATACTTCAGTTAAAAGAAATAAAAAAGAAATGTCTAAATTTAAAACCCATTTAAAGAACAGTGGTCTAGGTACTTGGGATACATCAGTGAAATAAACAGAGAAAATATAAACCAAAATGAAAATAACAGATGTCAATATGCAATGATTATTTTTAAAAACAATAACCATTTACTTAGGAGTTCAGAACCCTTCTGATCATATTAACAACCTTCTGACCCCCATGTTCACAAAATGTAAAGTTTTCATTTGATTAGCAAGATATAATTTCTATTTTTAAGCACACTTGTAGATTCTTGAACTATCTTACAGACTAACTACCAAGGATGAATACAGCTGCATTCTTACCCAAATAGAGTGGCTAGGTCTTTTTTTTTCTTCTTTCTTTTTATTTATTTATTTTGTTTTTTATTTTTTTAAGTAGGCTCCTTGCTTAGCATGGAGCCCAACATAGGGTTTGAACTCAGGACTCTGAGATCAAGACCTGAGCTGAGATCAAGAGTTGGACGCTTAACTGACTGAGCCAACCATGTGCCCCAAGAGTGACTAGGTCTTTTTTTCTTTTTTTCAGATTTTATTTATTTATTTGAGAGCGAGAGAGCATACGAGGGAGAGAGAGAGCATGGGGGGGGCATTGGGAGAGGCAGAAGCAGACTCCCCGCTGAGCAGGGAGCCAAATGAGGGACTCCATCTCAGGACCCTGGGATCATGACCTGAGCCAAAGGCAGATGCTTAACCAACTGAGCCACCCAGGTGCCCCATAAGTGACTAGGTCTTAAAATGCTCTTGGGAAGAACTGGCAGTTTGAGCAATAGGCAAACACATGTCCTACAAAATGAAAATCATTTTATGGGATTACTGAAAAGCTAGTGCTTTTCTTCCCAATTATTGCACTATAAAACAACTACTATGAATAAAGATGTGATAGATCTTTTAGTGTGGCTATTTGATGCATTATGGTTCTAAGAAGAAAGAATAAGTTGTACTGTGGGGAGACTCTAAGAATGAAATTCGGTGCCTTTTGTAAAGCCTTATAATAATTCAGTAATGATATTTCAGTCTTGAAATCAACATCATCAATACTTAGTGTATAATTGTAACTCTTATTTTCTAGGACTATATATTATATGTGACTTAAAGACTGAAAATTAATAAAAGGAAACCTTGTTCGGCAGGGGGAACTCTCACACCCTACCACTGGGTCAAATGCAGACCCAACAAGAAAAGCGCCTGTTGTACCTTCCAAGTCGACACTACTTTAGCTACTACTTTATTATCCCAGCAGGAGGAAGAAAGGTTTTCTCCTGCCCTGACAATAGCCCAGCCAATGAGAGACTGTCACAACTCAGCCAATGAATAGGCACTATACTGTGAACTCCCAGTTTACTCCAATGGACTTTTTGTTTATAACAGCCCTCCCAATTTCCCCCACTCCTTTCCTCTATAAGAGGGCATTCCTCTCCTGTGTTCTCCAGACTTGTCTATGGCTTTGCCTTAGTTTGCTTGTCCCTACTTGTAGTTCTCTGCTTTTCCTGAATAAACCCATTTTTGATAGTAAAATAAATGGCAGTTTAAATGTTAACAAGACATGCTTAAGACATATGTTCTGGATACCTAGCCCCTGTCTTAATTCTGTTTCAGAATCCTCACAAACTTATTTCCTATATAAAGCATTTGTTATAATGAAGTGAATTAATGCAAAATTCTAAATCCAGAGATACAACAACTTCAGAAACAAAGCTGATCAAAATAAATGCCCAATAATTAGGTATGTTCATACTGTAGCACTTGTTTTCAATTCTTAATTATGAGAAGCTTTTGGGAACTGGCTGTAAAAATGAAAATATTCAAGTTGGTCTTGAATATA